TACTCATCGATGCACGAAACATTTTTATTTGCACATGTTTTTATTTTAAGGTCATTTTATTATTATTATTATCGTCATCGTCATCATCATCGTTATTATTATTATCGTACACTGTTAATTCTACGTTTGTAAACGAGTCACGACCGAGAACCATACATGTAGAAGGATACGCGAACGGAGTGAAATTCGGGTTGCCCTCGTTCGGACAGAAAATGTTGTATTAGTGTTACATGATTCATGCGAAATGTTGTTCAAATTTCGTCTGTATTAGATTATTAACCGCGATTAGTAGCTTGTAATCACTGCGAGATTGAAGCTCATGGATTCGTCGTTACGGTCAACTTTTCATCCGTTCACCGATCTTAACTTTTCGATCTCCTCATCGACTGCTAAAATATTTTTACATTGAATTACGTCTATAGAAAATACAAAATTTCAGGAATTTCTCGAATCACTGATTGATTGCCAAACCTCTATGGTCATTAACTTGACAGAATTCATTATATGTTTACTCGAAGCTTGTTTCCTAAACAGCTCGTGGTTCTATTGCGAGTTATTGTTTATATATGATGACATTGTTAAAGCTCGTTGGAAAATGAAGATATTTTCAAGGAATATTTCAATTGAAAGATCGCAATGGCGGATTGACCGTAGCAACGAGATCCGTGAGTTCGATCTAAAAGTCGCAAGAATGCGTGGGTGTGCCATCGTTCAGAAGTAATTGAGAATTGTAAATCTTCGCGAGACTCATAGCTGTACATACGTCTTGTGCACGTGTGTGTATGTAATATACACTGCTGATCGAAAGTATGAGACCAGAATTATTTTCGAATCGCGTGATAAAGCCCGCGTGCGGTCAGTGCCGTTATTATTCTAATAACAATTGATTGATCGGTAATCATCGATTGTCGAGCCTCGATCGAACTTCTCCGGAGTATTACTCGTGATCATTGGCGAGGAGGAATGGTCTCATACGCGTACGCTTGGCGCAAGCGAGATGGAAAACGCGAAGATCCTCGGGAAACAAGAATACCTGTGAAACCGACCAAACCGAGGGAAACACGTTCAGGGGAAAGGGGAGATCGTGGGACGCGGTTATAGATGAAAGGGAAAGAAAAGAAAAGGAAAAGAAAAGAAAAACGGTGTAAACAAAGCGAACGATGTTCAAGATTCTAGTTAGAAATTCAAAATTTACCGTCGCGTCTAGAGAAGAATGAAGTCTAGTCTTTTGTAAACGATGAACCCGAGAATATTGTATATTTTGAGAACTACTAAGCTAGAGATGTCTGAACGCGTAGATAGAGGACAATATTAATGATCGTGTCATACTTTACTCTGATTGAAAGTAATGAAATATACAGATACACACACGGAGGATACACAACATACACATACACCACTTAATGTGAATTAGTGCATATTTTTAATAAATGGATCATGAAACTGACAATTCCTTGATCATCCACCGCCGGAGTGCGTCTTTACTTGAATACTTTCATCTTTCCCAACGAAATCAAATCCAGTCTTCTCTTCTTCGTTCAGCTTCCTTCGCAGAGTCGCCTTTTCTCCTGTATCACCCTGAAAACTTCATCTTATTTGCACGCTTCTCATTTATTTCGTTCCTTTCGTATTTCTCAATGTTGACCGTTCACTTCCCCCTGAAAAATTAACATATTTTCTTCTACAGCACAACACGGTTCCAAAAACCAGAAGCTTCTGGAAACATCTACCGTCGATCGAATTTACAGTCCCTCTCTAACGTCGCGCTTGCAACCCTCTTAGCGTCTCGTGGCACAAAGATGCAAGCTGAAAACAACGTTCTTCCGCGCTCTTGAGAATCCCGCTGAACTTCCCAAGCTTCGCGACGTTACGGAGGAAACATCCTACTACCGTTCAATGTAAATATCCCTCCAATTCAAATAATCAAACGCTTGTCAAACGAATCGCGTGAGAATGATTGACTCGTCGAGAGCTGTTCCGAGAACCAATTCTACAGCCCTCGACTTCCATGCAATTTCTTTGTTATTCTCATTCAGGTAAGTTATTCGTCGATTATATTCGTCGCGTCGGACAAAAACCGATTGCGAAATGATACCAAACTTTCAGCCGACTGCGTGAACGCGTAAAATCGATCTCCGAGTCGCGACAGCGCGAAGCGGCCGCTCCCGGCCGCCATTTTCCATTCGACGAGGACGCTCGGCCATCTTGAACCGATCGCGCCGACATTCGAGGTCCCGCGCGGCGATGTTTCGAAAGGCAGATGCAAAGAGAGGCAACCCAGCAAACGTTCCACGCTTACGTTTTTATTGTAATAGATTGTATTGAAATTTGTCGCATTCTTTTGAAAACAAAAAGTGTTGTTCGCGCGCGCGGCGGCGGCGAACCGCCGCTTCGTTTCGTACGGTTTCTTTTGTTTCTCTCCCGTAAGTTCTCTACCCCCCCGCCCCTGCTCCT